AGCTTGGTCACAGGAAGGTGTGTGCACGCACATATATGCACAATGCATGCACAAATTATTTTAGTAATTTGTTTCCTGTTTCACAGTCACATTATCAACGATTGTTTAGAAACGACCATAAAATTCACCGATTTCATTGTCTGTCATTGTGTCCTACATACTCACGTTTCCCTTTCCTGAGTCCTTTATTCTAATTTGTATTCGCTTTATTGAAATCATTCCTGAGCAATTGAAAAGTGCTTGGGTGATATGCTTTCTTACTTCTTGGTTCTTCCTTTCACTTGAACACTTACAGGCTATGGTCGGGTTATTAACTGGCCTAATTTTAATATTTGTCTCAGGGAATCAGAAGGCCCAAGGAGAGGGAGAAAGACAGGGGAGTGGCTGGTTGGTGGAGCAGTCAGAACACAGGGAACACTTATGAATTAAGTTTGTGGTCTCATATGGGCCTGGTTCACGGTGCCCCAAAACAATTACGATAGTAACGTCAAAGATCACTGATCACAGATCATCAAAACAGATATAGTAATAAAGAAAAAGCTTGGAATATGGTGAGAACTACCAGATGTGACACAGAGACGCGAAACGAGCACAGGCAGTCAGACAAATGATGCCGACAGCCTTGCTCGGTGCTCGCACACACCTGCAGTTTGTGAAAAGTGTAGCGTCTGCAGGGCGCAGTGTGATGAGAAGCAGCCTGCGTGGAAAGCAGCCTCAGGAATGTTCACCGGTGCCCGTGGAATCCCAGTGTACCAACGAGAGCACAGCGATCATATCAAGTGCCTTTTCCTTTAGCCTTACAGAGTCCAGTCAAACACTATTTTCCAAAGTAACATAGGTCACCTCCGTGTCCCCAACCCCCAGCACTCTTCCCTGCGGTTACCTGGAGTCCCCATTCCGTCCTGGGATCCCCCAACATTCTGGTTCGCTTTTTAAAAATTTACCTATGTGAAAGTCCCTTCTTTGTGACAAACAATTCTGTGGGTTTTGCAATGTGCAGTGTCATTATCTGTCACCTGAGTGCCATATAGACCAGTTCCCCCACCCTACAAATCCCCCTGGGCAGCCCCTTTGTGGTTAGCTACTTCCTCCTCTCCCGCCCCCAGTAATCGCTGACCTGCTTTCCGTCCTTAAGTTTTGCCCTCTCCAGAACATCGTAAGAATGGCATCACGGAATGTGTAGCCTTTGGGTCTGGCATCTTTCATTTAGCTAAATGTATTTCAGTTTCATCCATGTCATTGCACAAATCAACAGCTCATTCATTTTTATCACGTAACAGAGTCCCGCCGTTTTAGAGTGGCTGCAACTCAGTTGATTAAGTGTATTCGTTCCCCTGTTGAGGGGGATCTTGGTTGCATCAAGGTTTTTTGGTTTTTTTTTGCGATTGTGAATAAAACTTGTTATTCATACACTGATTTTTTTCTATGGACATAACTTTTCAATTTACTTTAATAAATATTTGTCTATATTTAATTTTATAAGAAACTTTTTAAACTGGCTACACTATTTTGCATTCCCATCAGCAATGAATGAAAGTCCTTATTGCTACACAGTCTTTACAATATTTGGTATAGCCAGAGGTTTTTTTAATTTTAGCAATTCAAATAGGTATTATTTTCTTCTTCTTTTTTTGGAGACAGAGTCTCCTTCTGTTGCCAGGGCTAGAGTGCCACGGTGTCATCGTAGCTCATCGTCCCCTCAAACTCCTGGGCTCAAGCAATCCTCCTGCCTTTGCCTTCCAAGTAACTGGGACTATAGGAGTGCACCACCTTTCCTGGCTAATTTTTCTATTTTTTTGTAGGGACGGGGTCTTGCTCTTGCTCAGGCTGGTCTCAAACTCCTGAGATCAAGCAATCCTCATGCCTCAGCCTCCCAGAGTGCTGGGGTTACAGGCGTGAGCCACTGGGCCCAACCTAAATTTTATTTTAATATTTAGTATTCTGGATAAATAGTCCTATGTAGTTACTCTGTAAGTAAACTCATTTTCATTCACAAGAATGAAATTCCTAAGAATTTGCAGAATTTCCTTGCTATGCTAGAAAATTTGAAATTTTACCAAGGTATTTACATGTATCCCTCACCCTCACCCTCCACATTTTCTTTCCAATATAAAAACTCAAATATTTCTTAAGATCTGAAAACTTTTGTTCCGATATGTTTGACATTTTGCTTTTCTTCCACCCACAGTAATCTGTTGTGGGACCTCCATTATATGAAATTTGCACCACCTATAATTCTCTTTTCACACATTTTAATTTTTCTAATGGTTTGCATTCTTTAATTTTTGCTTTATGCTTTCCATAAAGGGAGTCCCTAAATCACTTTTTTTAAACAATCAATCTTTTATGGAATTTATTGGGTTTATGTTGAGATTTTTTGTGTAGTTGAAGTTTTTTTGCTTTCTAATAACTCCTTTTACATATCACCCTGCACTTAATCTATGAAGGCAGCAATATACTGTATACACTAATTAGAATTATTAAAGCATTAATCTCATCTTTGCTTACTTGTTGGAGGCCACTGGCTATGAATGTTCCAATAAGCCACCCACATCTTTTTGAGTTGCCCATTCTGGCCACATTGTTTATAATTTTGGTTCGTCCATTCAGATTCATGAATGGAGATCAGTTTTATTAGAATTAGTGGCTAATATGGCTTTTCTTATTGTTTTTCCAGAATACTGCTGAATTTGTTCTTGTATATCTCCTTTTAAGCACGTCTTCCTGGGAAATGTGAGTGATCACGTCTAAGCCAATGATGGAGTTTTGTTTCAAGATGCAGACAGGTACATTGAGGCTTTCTCAGAGCCAGGTGGTAGGTTCAGGTGTCCTGAAAGATCAAAGCTGTAAATTCACCTGCTGTGAATTGTCTGTACCAAGTAAAGAACCCCAGAGGACAATGTCTTGGGCTATAACTCCATGTGTTGTTCTAGAAACGATTACATTTATTCCTTATGGAGAATTTCTGATTGATTTGGTCTCAGTTTTTGGCGATGAAGTCTAAAAAATGATTTTACTTTGTCAGATATTTTGTAAGTAATGAGAAGTAGGGATAGAGGCCAAGAGTGTTCAGTTAGTTTCCCAGGACTTCCATAGCAAATTGCCACAAACTAGGTGATAAAAGGAACAGAAATTTATTCTCTCACAGCGGTGGAAGGTACGAGTAGGGCTGATTCCTTTGGAACCTGCGTGAGAATTCATCACGTGTTCTCTCCTAGCTTCAGGCGGTTGCTTGCAGCCCTTGGCGTATCTCGGCTTTCGCCTGCATCGCTGTAACTCTGTCTCCGTCTGCACATGGGCTTTCCCCTGTGTGTCTGTGTCTCTGTGTCCAAATTTCCCTCTTCTCATAAGGACACCAGTTGTGTTGGATTAGGGTGCACTCTGATTTATTAATAGTATGACCTCATCTTAAATTGATCTGCAAAGACCCTATTTCCAAGTAAGTTCATTTTCACAAGTTCTGCATGTCCATAACTTCTAAGGAGACTCTATTTAACCCATTACAAATCTTAAGGGGTTGATTCCAGTGCTGTGCTATGAGGAGACCCAATTTAAGAACTCCTTCTTTGCAATTAGGACAGTTTAATCAAATTAAGCCTGGTCCAAAGGATCACATAGTTCACAAATTGAATTCTAATCTGCCCTCCCGCCAACTGTCCTGGACTCCCCATTGTTTGTCTTCTCTACTGTTCTTAGATGGGGAAGGAGGACGTGTGAGGGTCACCTTTTCCTTTGGTTAAATGCTAAGCACGAGTACTATAAACTTATTTGTGGATCTGATGCGCAATTTGCTTAATATAGTCCAAAAATCCCTAAAGTTTTTATTCCATCATGGGTACTTTCCTCTGTTTTCCTGTGCTTATGGATTTTTTTTCTTCCTTTTGTGTTTATTTGGTCATGTCAGTAAAACTTTTTATGCAACAGACAAAGAGGTTACTAGATTTAGTTTACCATCTTTGCAGACATTAAAGACAGTCTCTTAGTCATCTTTTACAGGGCTCTAATCCCGTGCGTATTTTTAAATGAATTTGTTCTTATAGACATTAAGTATGATCATGTCAGCAAAGGGAAATTTTAGAGGTGAAAAACCCTTCTTGTACCTCCGAAATCATGTGGTGCTCCAAACTGGTGAGATTAAGGCAGACGCAGACAAGAGCAGGCGAAGTCGCGAACATACGTTCCTGCTGTTGCAGGGCCAGAGCTGTGCGAGGGACACTGCACAGGTCATTCCGTCCTCGCAGCAGCACCCTGAGCCCAGAATTTCTCTTGTTTTATAAATAAGGAAGGGTAATTACAGAGTTATGTAACTTTCTCAAGGTTACATAGCTATTATACTAAGTAATAGAACCAAGATTTAAATCCAGGTCTTTCTCAAACAAAATCTGTGTTTTTCCTATACACCTTTTCATTATTCCAGTTTTTCTGGAACCAGAAGTTTCACTATTCCTTACATATGTTTGAGAAAAATCTTGTCATATAATGTTCATCATATATATAAGTATATGTAAATACATGTGTGGTATTTCCAGACTTACCAATTATCTTTGTAGAACTCGTGGCCAATCCTGACTTTGTAACCAGAAACTCTCTGGATTCTGCTGTTCTACGAGACTCATGACAAGCAGGGTAGACCCACTCAGAGGCAATGACCATGTAATGTGCAATGAGGAACCCAAGAATTTCCATGTCTGCCCTTCTCAGGCTAAAAATTCTCCATTAGGTTGTTTGAAATTACAACTCAGATTCTTCCTTAAACAAACATTTGGTGGTTGGTTAATACATGCCAGGCATGTACTGTCCTGGCTCTGGAACCCTTAGGTAATACATGTATCATAACAGGAAGGAGTCAACCCATTCTTTAGGAAGGCTGAGACAGCTCTGTTGACAAGCTCGATGGCAGTGATTACTTGCCCCGTTCAGTTGACCCACTTCCACAAGGCTAAGAGAAAAAAGAATGGTGAGAAAGGGGCAAAGAGAAGAAGAAAAAGAAAAAGATATACCTTGTTCACATGAGCTCGAAGCTGGTGACTCTCAATCAAGTGAGGCAGTTTGTTGGCAATTTCCATCCAAGGACTATAATGATCTGGAAGTTCTTTCTGCATTTAAAATAGAAACAAGTACATATTTTAGGCCTCTCTGGGAGGTGGTTTCAGAAAGTAGCTGCTTTCAGATTTCAGTCTCCAGGAGAACTCAAGTCAATTCAGTTCAATGACATTTGAGAATTCACTATATGCTAGGTCCTGTGCTAGGTGCTGCAGAATTACAGGTGTCAAAAACACAGCTTTTGTCTTTAGGGAGTGTGTTGGGGTGAAGAGAAGGCTTCCCCTTCCCTTTCAGAAGGTTTGCTGAAAAATCAACTCACAATACGGCAGATTAGTAAGAAAAAAGGCATACGAAGTTTGTTGTTACCATGCAGACGGGGAGAATCACAAAGTAATTACGGTATCCCAGTGAGACCCAAATACTTACCTAACCTCATTTCAGGGGGGGAGGGAGGAGATGGGGAATACGGATAACTCTGTTGATGGGCAATAAGTGATTACTACTGAGAGTGAGAACGAATGGATACTTGGGAGAACAAATGGATGGGGGAGAAGAGACTGATTTGTAAATGATTTTCTTCAGAAGTTCAATGAACCTGAGAGACAGGCATTATTTTGTAAAAGGGTCAGGCCATTCTGGTTACCTTCTTGGTCTTCTTTCCTGCAATAAGTAGGGAGAAAATGGGGAAGGGAAGAGAAGACAACTGTTCTTGATGGGTCCCTCTGGTCTTTATGGAGATGAGGGAAAGTCCCTTCCAAGTCCTGTTGCTCTCTAAGGGCTATAAAGTAAAGTAAAATCCTGAGCCTCCTTGCTGACTGCACGGACTCCCTCCTGGCTAAGGGAACCCCAGAAAAACTTTAAAACTGAGTTTCTGACCATGAAGTGAAGGGAGGTCAGACACATCTTGTTATACCCACTCCCTTCTGTATTAGTACTTTAGATACAACAATTGACCAGTATTAATGTTAAAACAGAGATCAAAACAGATTCCTTGAGACAATAAGATACACGTTTCATGTACTGATTTATGATTTTACCTGCAATTCCTGTCTCCCTAAAATGTATAAAACCAAACTATAACCCAGCAGCCTCCAGAATACTTAGTCAGGACTTCTTGAGTGTGGCTCCCTGGGCCACGGTCACACATATTCGATTCAGAATAAATGTCTTTAAATCATCTTACAGAGTTGAGGTTTTTTTTCCATTAACAAGACTTTTAATTAAAAATATTCTATACATACATACCTGTGCTAGAAATCAAAAGAAAAAAATACATAAAAATACCGTTTATATCAAGGAGTCATATTTTGGGGTGAAATTTCCTGCACTCCTTCAAGCACGTGGTCTAGTAAGGGAGAAAGAAATGTAGTCAGATGTAGGTCTGACTACCAACGCAGTGTGATGCTTCATTACTGACATGTATGTAAGTTTAAGAACGTGCAAAGAAGAGGAAGTGGTTAATGCTGTCAGCTGTTAGGGGACATTAAAGGGAAATATTCATAGAAATATGACAATTGAGCCTAGTTTTGGAGTCCAAATGTGACTTTTTTGGGTTGGAATTTGAAGAAGGGAAGGTAGCACATGCAGAGGGGACAGTGGGTGAACAGACGTGTGTTTCTCAGGAATGCACATGACTCAGTGACGTTGTTAGGGAAATTTCCGTGCATACTAGGGGAATTTCTGTGCTGATTCTGCTTAAAACCACAAAGCAGCTAAAGTAGACGCTGACACCTCTCAGCTTTGCAAGCTAAAACCACAGAGCAGTTGAGCAAAGCTGAACAAAACTGCAAGCCTGTCATGATTATACTGTTTGTTTGTTATAAGCCTATCATAATTATAATGTTTTTTATAAGCCTATCATAATTCTACTGCTTTTAAGAATCATTGTTTATTGGATAACTTTTAAATCTTTTTGCTAATTGGTTAATCATTTACACTTGTGTGTGATTTGTTAAGAGTAACACCCCCAAAAAAGTATAAAACCTGGCAAAAACCCGGAAGAGGTGCTCCGATTTTGGGAGGCTTGACCCCATCTGGGCTGCCAGAAATTAAACTTTCTGACCCTCCAACTCTCTGCGTGCCGCTCGGTTATTCCCCTGGGACCGGTCACTGACACTTGCCGTAACAACGTCAGAATATAAAGCTCAAGAGAAGGGACGATGGAAGATCAGGGGTAGAAACTTAGATCAAATGTGCTTTGTAGAATATATGAGTTTTCCCTTTATGGAAGCTGGTGACATGGTTTGATTCGAATTTTAGGAAGATAATTTTTTTTTGCTGGATTTTAGGATATAAAGATTAGAAAGCCTTTGAAATATTTACTGTTCAAGGTCTAAATTTAGGCGATGACAGTGAATTTGGAAATGAAAAGGCATGTATTCAAGATATACTTGAGAAATAAAATTGAAATGATGTGATGATTAAATTCGGGGGTGGGTGTTTAAGGCAAGACAGTCCCTAACCCCAATAGCACTGTTTGTGTGCCCACCCTGGGCCCATGGTTCAGCCAAGTGGTACACAGTCTGGGTTTTAGTGACCCCCAACTCTAACCCAGGGAATGGGAAACTCACCTATTTTTGTGAATTTTTGCTGGAACCAGCCACTCTTATTAGTTTACACATTGTCTATTATTGATCTTGCATTATAGGAGTAGAGTTAGGTAGTTGCAACAGAAACCATATGGTATCCTATGGTATTCAAAGCTTAAAGTGCTTACTGTTCGAACCTTCAGAAACAGCTTGCCAATCCTTGGTCTGTCCCCATGATCTGGGCCTCCTTTTTCAGTGGACAACCTGCACAACTAAATGTTGTGTCTCTGGGTTAAGAAGAGGAAGTGAGGATGATTTCCACATTTATGAATTAGGTGATCAAATGAGTGGATGGGAACACAAGTTGCAACAGAAATGCAAGTGGAAGTCAGAGAGTTGTCATAAAGATAGTGAATTTATTTTTAAATATATTGAGCTAAAAATGTCTGTGGAATCTAACCATATAGCTGTGTACTGAAAAGTTGGACATACGGCTTAAGGTTCAGGAGAAAAGTCGTATTAGAAATATACAATTGGAAAGCAAAACTGTAGTAAAATCCCTAGCGTGTGGCTAAAACCACAAGGGTGTCATTTGAAAGAATATGCAAAGTGAAGTGAGAAGAAAGCCTAGATTAGCACACAGGGGAATATTCACGTGGCAAGCAGAACTGAATCCAGCAATGCAGATCAGAAAGACGGCTACAGAAGTTCAGTCAGCCGGAACAGGATGACGCTATAGAAGTCAAGACGTCAGAGGATTTCACAGAAGTGGGGAATCACCAGCAGTTCAAACACATCATTAGAAAGTTACAGTAAGATTGCCCCCTTTAAAAAACAAAACAAAACTATGAAGTCACTAATATATATTAGTTGATAAATTATACATGGTATGGTATAGTTTAGGTCAAGGTCCTGTAAGTAGGGTTCAAATTTTAATGTGTTCCTGAAGTGAAAAAAACCTAGAAAATGTAGTTTACTTCTTTAGGAGAGCGGCCATAAGGCATTAACACAGGGGGAAGCTGCATTTGAGAGCGATCTCCTTTGAAAATGAGAAACCAGCGATTTGCAGTCTGCTGTCGCAAGAGGGAGAGACTGAAGCAGAGGTGACAGGGGCGTGTGCAATGTAATTCAAGGCAGGAGGTCACGGAGGAAGGGAGGGAGGGGACTGGGAGCCCAGACGGAATGTCTGGCTTTGCAGGGGAGACGGTCTGGAATGGGGAAGCGCTCGCTTTGTGCACCCAGTTTCTCAGCAAATGGGAGTGAAGATCAGGTTGCAGGACCTGAGGCATAAAAGTAATTGCAGAGGGGAATATAACAGGGCGCTAGAGCTAAACAAATACAAATAATATAGAGGGTACACTAAGAACCCCGGGAAGTTTGAAAACTATCAATTTGGACAGGTGTTGTAAAGGAAAATAAAATCTCAGATCACCTCCCCACCAACTTCTTGTGCAAAAGGGAAGGTCAAGCCCGGAGGCTGTCAACGGAAAAAAGACCAAACTCCGTAAAATACTTTTAAAGAGATTCACTCTGAGCCAAATTTAAGGCCCATGACCCGGAGCCACGCCTAAGAGGTCTTGAGCAAGTGGACTCGGTGTGGCTGGGTTACAGTTTGGTTTTATACATTTCAGGGAGACAGGGGTTACAGGTAAAGTCGTAAATCAATACGTGGGAGGCGTACATTGGTTTGGCCCTAAAAGGTGGGCCATCTTGAAGGGGGGGGTGGCTTACAGGTTATAGGTGGGTTTAAAGATTCTTTGGCTTGTAATTGGTTAAAGACATGAAGCTTTGTCTAAAGGCTTGGACTGTTTCAACATAAGGAGCTGTTTATCAGAGACAAGCCACTTGCAGGTTTGTCTTGCATACCCTTGGGCCTGTTAATGGGTTATAAAGGATGTCCCCAAAAAGGGGAGGGGGAGGCATGATAAGGCATGTCTGACCTCCTTCCTCCTGGCAGGCAATTTAGTTTTAGGATATTCCTTTGGTCACAAGGGGGTCCATTTAATCAGCTGGTGAGGGGGTGAGCCTTAAAATTTTGTTTTAGTTCACAAGGCTGAGTCATGCAACACCCCCCTTCCCAGTGAGCAGCTGTCATGAACATTGTACATCAGCCAGCTCCCCAAGGAAGGTGCGAGGCCTCAGGCATCTACAAGGGCTGCCCCAGACCATTCATAAGGAAGTTCCTTGCTGGCCCCTCCGAAACAAGGACATGCAGACTATAAATTGGAGTCCGCAGGCTAAGTCTAGCTCCTAACACTACCATGTGTTCAATTCCACGCTAAGAAGGTTGATGACAGGTTTGTCTTCCCAGGCGCAGAACAGAGACAGGACAAGATCAATCATTCCTCCTCCCCCCAGAGACATCTGCGTAATTCATTCTTCCTTTAATCCCTTCTTCTCTCCAAACATCCACCTTATCTTACGTGAAATGTACACTTCCTGGGCCTCCAGAGAATGTAGCCACCTGCCTGACTGCCCACCCCTCTCCTCTGTTCCTTCCTGTGTGCCCTCTGCCCTGAAAGTTT